CCTGGTTTTATTTAACAAATATTTTTTCCAAGGACCATAGGCGAGATTTTCGCTTTAAAATAATTCTTCCAATGACCTTTGGCGTGATATTCGCCTTAAAATAATTTTCCCAAGGACCTTAGGCATGTTTTTATTTAACAAATATTTTTTCCAAGGACCTTAAGGTGTGGCCTTATTAAAAAATATTTTTTCCAAGGACCTTAGGCGTGATTTCGCCTTAAAATAATTTTTCCAAGGACCTTAAGCGTGGTTTTATTTAACAAATATTTTTTCCAAGGACCTTAGGCGTGGTTTTATTTTACAAATATTTTTTGCAAGGACCCTAGGAGTGATTTTAATTTTAAAATAATTTTTCCAAGGACCCTAGGCGTGATTTTATCTAACAAATATTTTTTTCCAAGGACCCTAGGAGTGATTTTAATTTTAAAATAAATTTTTCCAAGGACCTTAGGCGTGGTTTTATTTAACAAAATTTTTTTTCCAAGGACCCCAGAAGTGATTTTAATTTTAAAATAAATTTTTCCAAGGACCTTAGGCGTGGTTTTATTTAACAAATATTATTTCATGGACCTTAGGCGTGGTTTTATTTAAAAAATATTTTTTCCAAGGACCTTAGGCGTGGTTTTATTTAACAAATATTTTTTCCAAGGACCTTAGGCGTGGTTTTATTTAAACAATATTTTTTCCAAGGATCTAAGGCGTGGTTTTATTTAACAAATATTCAACAAATATTTTTTCCAAGGACCTTAGGCGTAGTTTAATTTAACAAATATTTTTTGCAAGGACCTTAGGGGTGGTTTTATTTAACAAATATTCAACAAATATTTTTTTCAAGGACCTTAGACGTGGTTTTATTTAACAAATAATTTTTTCAAGGACTTTAGGCGTGATTTTATTTAACAAATATTTTTTTCAAGGACCTTAGGCGTGGTTTTATTTAACAAATATTTTTTTCAAGGACCTTAGGCGTGGTTTTATTTAACAAATATTTTTTTCAAGGATCTTAGGCGTGGTTTTATTTAACAAATATTTTTTGCAAGGATCTAAGGCGTGGTTTTATTTAACAAATATTTTTACCAATGACCTTAAGATGTGGCCTTATTAACAAATATTTTTTGCAAGGATCTAAGGCGTGGTTTTATTTAACATATATTTTTTCCAAGGACCTTAGGCGTGGTTTTATTTAACAAATATTTTTTCCAAGGACCTTAGGCGTGGTTTTATTCTACAAATATTTTTTCAAGGACCTTAGGTGTGGTTTTATTTAACAAATATATTTTCCAAGGACTTTAGGCGTGGTTTTATTTAACAAATATTTTTTGCAAGGACCTTAGGCGTGGTTTTATTTAACAAATATTCCAAGGACCTTAGGTGTGGTTTTATTTAACAAATATTTTTTCAAAGGACCTTAGGCGTGGTTTTTTTTAAAAAATATTTTTTCCAAGGACCCTAGGCGTGGTTTTATTTAACAAATATTTTTTCCGAGGACCTTAGGCGTGGTTTTTTTTTAAAAATATTTTTTCCAAGGACCCTAGGCGTGGTTTTATTTAACAAATATTTTTTCCGAGGACCTTTGGCGTGATTTTCGCCTTAAAATAATTTTCCCAAGGACCTTAGGCATGTTTTTATTTAACAAATATTTTTTCCAAGGACCTTAGGCGTGGTTTTATTTAACAAATATTTTTTCCAAGGACCTTAGACGTGATATTCACTTTACAATAATTTTTCAAATGATCTTAGATGTGATTTTCGCTTTAGAATAATTTTTCAAAGGACCTTAGGCGTGGTTTTATTTAACAAATATTTTTTCGAAGGACCTTAGGCGCAGTTTTATTTAGCAAATATTTTTTGAAAGGATCTAAGGCGTGGTTTTATTTAACAAATATTTTTTGCAAGGATCTTAGGCGTGGTTTTATTTAACAAATAATTTTTCCAATGAACTTAGCCGTGGGTTTATTTAACAAATATTTTTTCCAATGACCTTAGGCGTGGTTTTATTTAAAAAATATTTTTTCCAAGGACCTTAGGCGTGGTTTTATTTAAAAAATATTTTTCCAAGGACCTTAGACGTGGTTTTATTTAATAAATATTTTTTCCAATGAACCTAGCCGTGGTTTTACTTAACAAATATTTTTTCCAAGGATCTTAGGCGTGGTTTTATTTAATAAATATTTTTTCCAAGGATCTTAGGCGTGGTTTTATTTAAAAAATATTTTTTTCCAAGGATCTTAGGCGTGGTTTTATTTAACAAATATTTTTTCCAAAGACCTTAGACGTATTTTATTTAAAAAAATTCCAAGGACCGTAGGCGAGGTTTTATTTAACAAATATTTTTTCCAAAGACCTTAGACGTATTTTATTTAAAAAAATTCCAAGGACCGTAGGCGAGGTTTTATTTAACAAATATTTTTCCAAGGATCTTAGGCGAGGTTTTATTTAACAAATATTTTTCCAAGGATCTTAGGCGTGATTTTATTTAACAATTTTTTTTCCAAGGTTTTAAGCCGTGGTTTTATTTAAGAAAAAAATTTTGCGAGGATCTAAGGCGTGGTTTTATATAAGAAAAAAATTTTGCGAGGATCTAAGGCGTGGTTTTATATAAGAAAAAAATTTTGCGAGGATCTAAGGCGTGGTTTAATTTAACAAAAATGTTTTCCAAGGACCTTAGGCGTGGTTTTATTTAACAAAATTTTTTTCCAAGAACCTTCGGCGTAGTTTTTTTTAACAAATATATTTCCCAAGGACCTTGGGCGTGGTTTAACTTAAAAAATATTTTTTCCAAGGACCTTATGCGAAGTTTTATTTAACAAATACCTTGGGCCTGGATTTATTTAAAAAAATTGCAATCACCTTAGATGTATTTTATTTAACAAATATTTTTTGCAATGACCTTAGATGTATTTTATTTAACAAATATTTTTTCCAAGGACCTTAGACGCGGTCTTATTAAAAAACTATTTTTTCCATGGACCTTAGGCTTGGTTTTATTTAACAAATATTTTTTCCAAGGACCTTAGGCGTGGTTTTATTCAACAAAAATTTTTTTCAAGGACCTTAGGCGTGATTTTTGTTTTAAAATATTTTTTCCAAGCAATATTTTTCCAATGAATAATAAAAAAATATATATTCCAAGGACCTTAGGTGTCTGAATAAAAAAATATTTTTTCCAAAGACCTTAGGCCTGGTTTTATTTAACAAATATTTTTTCCAAGGACCGTAGGCGTGGTTTTATTTAACAAATATTTTTTCAAGGACAAGGATTTTTCCTAAGGTCCTTAGACGAGATCTAATTAAAAAAAATATTTTTTTCAAGGGCCTTAGGCCTGGTCTCATTAAACAAATATTTTTCCAAGGACCTTGCACGTGCTTTTCGCTTTAAAGTATTTTTTCCAAGGACTTTACGCGTGGTTTTATTTTACAAATATTGCCAAGGACTTCAGGCGTGATTTTCCGTTTAAAATAATTTTTCCAAGGAACTTCGTCGTGGTTTTCGCTTTAAAATAATATTCCCAAGGCCCTTATTTAACAAATATTTTTCCAAGGACATTAGGCAAGACAAAGATTTTTTCTTAACACTTTTTTTCCTAAGGACATTCGGCAATAACTTTTTTCCTAATTTGTTTTCTAAGACCTTAGACAAGGATCTGTTCTAAAGCTTTTTTCTAAGGACCTTTTGTCAAAGACCATAGACATACGTTTTTAAGAATTTAGTTTAATGACTTTTAGCATGGATGCAAGGATTTTTCTCTTAATATTGATTTCTAAGGAGCTTAGGCAAGGATTTTTTATCTTTTTTTCTAAGAACCATAGCGAAGGATTTTTTACCTAAAATTTTTGGACCATGGGCAAATATTTTTTTATGTTTTTTCAAAGGACCTTAGGCAAGAATTTTTTGTTCCTAATTTTTTAAGAACTATGGGCATGACTTTTTTTTTCATAAAACTTTTTAAGGGCCTTATACAGGGACTTTTTTCTTCAATTTTGTTTAAAGACCTTAGGCAATGACTTTTTCTTAACTTTTTTTCTAAGGACATAATTCAATTTTTTTTTGGATTTTTTTCTAAACGACTTAGGCAAGGATTTTTTTACATTTTTTCTGAGGACCATAGCCAAGAATTTTTTTCTTAGAATTTTTAAGGACCCTGGACAAGGATTTTTTTATTTATTTTTTGTTTCTAAGGACCTTTAAAACTTTTTTAAGGACTTTTTTCTTTTTCTGAGGTTTTTGTTTTTCTTATGGTTTGTTTGTCGAAGACCCTTTCGTGAATTTTTAAAAATATATTTAAAGGACCTTTAGCATGGCTGTTAAGAACCCCTTTTTTGTCATAGACCATGGGTGTGGATTTTTAATCGAATAATTATATCTGAATTTTTTTACAAAATGTTTTGTAAGGACCTCAGGCTTGGAATTTAAATAATTTTTTTTGGGGGATTGTGCATAGATGTTTTAGAAAATATTTTTCCAAGAACTTTAGTCAGGGATTTTTGTTAGAAAATATTTTTTCATATACCTTGGACAAGTTTTTTTTAATAAAACATTTTCCCGAGGACCTTAATCATTGATATTTTTAGAAAACCTTTTTTCAAGGACCTTTTTTCCAAGGTTCTTCCAGCAAACTCCTCCACCCTCTTATTTTATCTTATTTTTATCTATTATTCCTTTCTTTTAATCCTTTCCAAGAAATCTCATATTACAAGAATTCCATTTTATCCTCTGTCGTCCAGCCAAGCTTACTTACTTGTATTTAATCTCCTTAAAGCCGATATTGACCACATTTAAAACCTAAACGATGTTATCTTTAAGAATTTTCACAAAAACAAAACTCATCCTTCTTGTTGTTGTTGTTACTGCTGCCTTTCGATTTCTCTGCCAACTAGAACCCGAAAACAAAGAAACAAATAAAACCTCAATAATCCGCTTAAAAATCACCTACGAACGATTGAACAGCAGCAACAACAAGAATTTGAAATTTTATTCTAAGATTTTGAAAGACAATGCCATGGATCCTCCAACCTCCTGTCGCCCCATTCTACCAGTCAAGTTTAATCCTTTAAGCAGTAAGACGAATATATATATGTATATGGACTGCAAGTAATTTTCAGTACTTAGACAGTGATGATGATGGCAATGACGATGATGTTGAACTTTGACCTTTGTGTAAAAAAGACTTTGGAAATGTAATAGAAAGGAATCACCGATTTATTTTTGGCTCATAAAAAGTTCAAAATAATATATTTTGGGCAAAGAGAGTGAGAGGAAGAATCGATAAAACTTGGAGAGAGGCAATTTTATTTTTGATATATCGCAATTGAGCCTCATTTTTAAGGGATATCTATTATAAATACCGATAACTTTTACTTGAAGACTCATGTTGAAATTTGGTGTTGAATATTTTTTTCTTTGGGACCAACTCCCTTAGGTAAGGTTTTCATACGACTTTGGATCAATTCCCAAAAGTACTTTGGTATTACAAGTGAATATTTGATAAGAAATAATTTTAATATAGCAAATTTCATCCCAACATTTTATTGTTATCGGTTGTAAGAAGCGATTTGTATTGTTCGGAAGCTCATAGTGGAATTCGATGAGGAATATTTTCCCCTTTGGAACCAATCCTCTAAAATGGCGTCTTGACCTAATTTGAGATCTATTCTGAAAAGTTCTTTAAAATGCCAAACAAAGTATGTACAAAAATGTAAGATTCATTTGCCCATATTGCAGACGATATATCCCTTATAAATATTATACCTACAGATATCTTTTGTTCCCAGACTTCAAGTAAAATTCGATGTAGAATATTTTTCTAATTGATACCAAGGCTCAAAAATTACGTTTTCATTGAATTTTGGAGCAATTCCTAAGAAAACCCCGAAAAGATCAACCCAACAAATTCAATTAAACATTTTAATTGTACACCCTATTGCCAGCGACATCTGTCGGAGATATGTTATATCTACCAATTTATTCTCTTCAGAGACTCATAGTGAAATTTGATGTAGAACATTATTTCCTTTGAGACCAAAGCCATAAAATGACGTCTTGACACAATTTGGGATCTATTTTCAAAAGTTACTAAAAATTCCAAACAAAGTAGTTACAAAAAATTTGTGGTTCCTTTGCCCATATTTCAAACGATATATCCCTTATAAATATTATACCTACAGATATCTTTTATTCCGAGACTTCTAGTAAAATTCATTGTAGAATAATTTTCTCATTGATATCAAGTCTTAAAAATTACGATTTCATTGAATTTTAGACCAATTCCTGAGAAAACCTCAAAAAGATCAACATAACAAACCCAATTAAAAATTGTAGTTTTATACCGCATTTGCCAGCAACGTCTGTCGGAGATAAATTATATCTACGAATTTATTCTCTTCAGAGGCTCATAGTAAAATTTGATATAGAACATTATTTCCTTTGAGGCCAAAGCCATAAAATGACGTCTTGACACAATTTTGGGTCTATTCTCAAAAGTTACTAAAAATTTCAAACAAAGTACTTACAAAAATGTAAGGTTCATGTGCTCATATTGCAAACTATATATCCCTTATAAATATTGTACCTACAGATATCTTTTGTTCCAAGACATCTAGTAAAATTCGATATAAAATATTTTTCTCCTTGATACCAAGTCTCTGAATTGACGTTATCATAGAATTTTAGACCAATTCCTAAGAAAATCCCAAATTCTATTAAAAATTTTAATTGTATACCATATTATCAGCGAAATCTGTCGGATATATATTTTATTTACGAATTTATTCTCTTCAAATACTAATACTGAAATTTGATATAGAACATTATTTTCTTTGAGGTCAAGGCCAAAAAAGGACGTCTTCATAGAGTTGCGAGCAATTTCTAAGAAAACCCAAAAACTTGAAAAGAGCAGTATCAATTACAAATTTCAATTTTATAATAACGACATCTATCGGATATATCTACGGATTAGGTTTTCTTAGAGACTCGTACTGAAATTTGATCTACAATATTATTTCCTTTGAAGTCAAAGCCATAAAATGGCATCTTTATAGATTTGGCAAGCAACTTCCAAGAAGACCCAAAAACTTAAACAAAACGAAATCAATAAAAAACTTCGAATTTCCAGCGACATTTGGTGGAGATATTTCATATCTACGGATAAGGTATGTTCAGGGACTTATACTGAAATTTGTTGCAGATCATAACTTTCTTTGAGGTCAAAACCATAAAATGATGTTTTCATAGATAGGTAGCGATTTTAAAAAATTCCCAAATTTGTACAGCAATGTTAAGGGAAATAGTTTTATTAGGTACTCCGAATTTTTAGAGGCATTCGACGGATATGTGTTAAACGTACTGATATCTTTTGTTCAGATACCCATAGTGAAATTCGATGCAGAATGTTTTTTCCATTGAAACTTCATACCAAAATTGCAGTTTTGGGGCAATTATAGACCGATTTCCAAAAACACCCAAAAAAAATTCCATAACATTTTATTCTGTTTATACCCATATTACTGCCAATATTTGATAATTTTATATTAGAATTACAAAGTTTTCTTGTTCGGAGACCCATACTGAAATTTGATGCAGAATATTTTTTCCATTGGGTCCCACCTACTACAATGACGTTTTCATAGACTTTCCGATCAATTTCTAAATAGACCCAACAAAGGTCAACAAAACTAAATCAATAAAAATTTTCGAATTGCTAGCGACATCTGTCGGATATACATCAAATATACGGATTAGGTATGTTCAGGGACTTATACTGAAATTCGATGCAGATCATAACTTTCTTTGAGGTCAAAACCGTGACATGTCGTTTTCATAGATTTCCGTAGCGATTTTAAAAAATACCCAAAATCGTACATCTATGTTAAGGGAAAAAGTAATATTATGTACTCCAAATTTGTAGAGGTATTTGACTGGTATGTGTTACACGTACTGATTTCTTTTGTTCAGAGACCTATAGTGAAATTCGATACAGAATATTTTTTTCATCAAGAATATATACCAAAAATGCAGTTTTGGCGCAATTTTGGATCAATTTCCAAACATATCCAAAAATCCATTTCAAAATTCCAATACATTTTTTCTCTTTATACCCATATTACTACCAACAATTGATTATTTTATATAAGATTTACAATGTTTTTTTGTTCGAAGACCCATAATTAAATTCGATGTAGAATATTTTTTCCATTGAGTCTGACTTACTAAAATTACGTTTTCATAAGGTTTCCGATCAATTTCTAAAAAGCCCCAGCATAGGTCAACAAAACTAAATCAATAAAAATCTTCGCATTGACAGCGACATCTGGTGGATATATTTCATATCTATGGATTAGGTGTGTTCAGGGACTTATACTGAAATTTGATTTGTAACATAACTTTCTTTGAGGTCAAAACCATGGCATGACGTTTTCATAGATTTCTGTGGCGATTTTAAAAAGTACCCACTTTTGTACAGCAATGTTAAGGGAAAAAGTATTATTAGGTACTCCAAATTTTTAGAAGCATCCGACGGATATGTGTTAAACGTGCTGAAATCTTTTGTTCAGAGACCCATAGTGAAATTCGATGCAGAATATTTTTTTCATTGATACTATACACCAAAAATGCAGTTTTGGGACAATTTCAGACCCATTTCCAAAAATATCCAAAAATCCCTTTCAAAATTTCATATTTTTTTTATTTATACCCATATTACTGTCAATATTTTATTATTTTTTTATAAGAATTACAAAGTTTTGTTCCAAGACCCATAGTAAAATTCGATGTACAATATTTTTTCCATTGAAACTGACTCACTAAAATGACGTTTTCATAGACTTTCTGACCAATTTCTAAAAAAACCCAACAAAGGTCAATAAAACTAAATCAATAAAAAAAAAAATTGACAGCGACATCTAGTGGATATAATTCATATCTATGGATTAGGTGTGTTCGGGGACTTATACTAAAATTTGATTCGGAACATAACTTTCTTTGAGATCAAAACCATGACATGACGAGTTCAGGGATTACTGTAGCGATTTTAAAAAATACCCAATTTTGTACAGCAATGTTAAGGGAAATAGTATTATTAGGTACTCCGAATTCGTAGAGGTATTTGACTGGTATGTGTTACACGTACTGATATATTTTGTTCAAAGACTTATAGTGAAATTCGATGTAGAATATTTTTTTCATTGACAGCACCTTCCTAAAATGCACTTTTGGGGTAATTTCAGACCAATTTCAAAAAATATCCAAAAATCCCTATCAAAATTCCATTAAAATTTTTTCTCTTTATACCCATATTACTACCAATATTTGATTATTTTATATAAAAATTACAAAGTTTTTTTGTTCCGAGACCCATAGTAAAATTTGATAGAGAATATTTTTTTCATTGAGGCTGACTCACTAAATTGACGTTTTCATAGAGTTTCCGATCAATTTCTAAAAACACCCAACAAAGTTCAACATAACTAAATCAATAAAAATCTTCAAATTGCCAGCGACATCTGGTGGATATATTTCATATGTATGGATTAGGTTTGTTCAGGGACTTATACTGAAATTATATGCGGATCATAACTTTCTTTGAGGTCAAAACCATGACATGACGATTTCATGGATTACTGTAGCGATTTTAAAAAATACCCAAATTTGTACAGCAATGTTAAGGGAGAAAGTATTATTAGGTACTTCGAATTTGTAGAGGTATTTGACTGGTAAGTGTTACACGTACTGATATCTTTTGTTCAGAGACCTATAGTGAAATTCGACGTAGAATATTTCTTCCACTGAGAGCACCTTCCTAAAATGCACTTTTGGGGTAATTTCTAACCAATTCTTAAAAATATCCAAAAATCCCTTTCGAAATTCCATTAACATTTTTTCTGTTTATACCCATATTACGACCAATATTTGGTTATTTTATTTTAGAATTTCAAAGTTTTTTTGTTCAGAGACCCATAGTAAAATTCTATGTACAATATTTTTTCCATTGAAACTGACTCACTAAAATTACGTTGTCATATGGTTTCCGATCAATTTATAAAAAGCGCCCATAGGTCAACAAAACTAAATCAATAAAAATCTTCATATTGCCAGCTGCGTCTGGTGGATATATTTCATATCTATGGATTAGGTGTGTTCAGGGACTTAAACTGAAATTTGATTTGGAATATAACTTTCTTTGAGGTCGAAGCCATAAAATGATGTTTTCATAGATAGGTAGGAATTTTAAAAAATACCCAAATTTGTACAGCAATGTTAAGGAATTAGGTACTCCGAATTTGTAGAGGTATTTGACTGGTACGTGCTACACGTACTGCTACCTTTTATTCCGAGACCTATAGTGAAATTCGATGCAGAATATTTTTTTCATTGACAGCATTTTCCTAAAATGCAGTTTTGGGGCAATTTCGGACCAATTCCCAAAAATGCCCAAAAATCCCTTTCGAAATTTCACTAATTTTATTTATTTATACTCATATTACTGCCAATATTTGATTATTTTATATAAGAATTACAAAGTTTTTTTGTTCCGAGACCCATAGTAAAATTTGATAGAGAACATTTTTTCCATTGAGTCTAACTCACTAAAATTATGTTTTCATAGAATTTCCGATCAATTTCTAAATAGGCCCAACAAAGGTCAACAAAACTAAATCAATAAAAATCTTCGAATTGTTAGCGACATCTGTCGGATATATTTCATATCTATGGATTAGGTGTGTTCAGGGACTTATACTGAAATTCGATGCAGATCATAAGTTTCTTTAAGGTCAAAACCATGACATGACGTTTTCATAGATTTCCGTATCGATTTTGAAAAATACACAAATTCGTAAGTATGTTAAGGGTAAAAGTATTATTAGGTACTCCGAATTTGTAGAGGTATTTGACTGGTATGTGTTAAACGTACTGATATCTTTTGTTCAGAGACCAATAGTGAAATTTGATGTAGAATATTTCTTCCATTGAGAGAACCTTCCTAAAATGCAGTTTTGGGACAATTTTGGGACAATTTCCAAAAATATCCAAAAATCCCTTTCAAAATTCCAATACATTCCTTACTCTTTATACCCATATTACTATCAATATTTGATTATTTTATATTAGAATTACAAAGTTTTTTTGTTCGGAAACCCCTAATAAAATTCGATGCAGAATATTTTTTCGATTGAGAGCACCTTCCTAAAATGCAGTTTTGGGCCAAATTCAGACCAATTCCCAAAAATTAACCAAAAAAATGTGCTCAAAATTCCTATTCATGTTTCCTATTTGTTATCACATTTCTACCGATATTTCGTTGAATTAGGCTATAAAGACATATTTCTTTGTTCAGGGACCTATACTAAAATTCGATGTAGAATATTTTTTCCATTGAGACCATTTACCTAAAATAACGTCTTTGGGGAATTTTAGACCAATTACAAAAAACACCCAAAAATTTAATCTAACTTCAATGGCTATTTTATTTTCTATATGGCAATATGGGCATCGATTTTCGACCGATATGTGTTATAGATATCGATATCTTGTGTTTGGCGACTTATAGTAGAATTACAAGACGAATATTTTTTCCATGAGGACCAAAATTCTAAACGCCGATTTTGTTTGAGTTTTGTTTCAAAATTCAAATATTTTCCAAAAAAAATCAGTAATCCCTCAAATTTGTATTAGAAAAGCAGGATTGATTGATAATTCTATTGATTTGAGGAAAAATATTTTATTTTTTATCTATAAATCAAACCACTTAACTGTTATGGATTCTGTGTTTTTGTTGTTGTTTTTTTTTTTGCTTTACTTCATGTGGCCTTCTAGCCATCTTAGCCCAGCGTTCAGTGGGAAAAATTGTGTTTTTATGAAGAACAAATCCTTGGATTGAGGCAATAATAATAAAAATAAAATAACATTTAATAAACAATTTCTGGATTACCTCAATAAACTACAGCTCACATATACACAAACCCCCCAACACACACACACACACACGAATACATCCATGGCACCCACCAAAAACCACAAAATGCTCTATTGAACTATAAATTGTTTCTGGGTGTGAGGAGGCTACAACTGTTATATGAAATATGATGATATTATGACAGAGAATTGAAAAATTGTTGAAATCGATTGGCTTCACAGCAGGGAAGTGCATGAATCACAACCACAAACACACAGACATTGCAAGCATCATTTCATCATTGTAGTGGTGTGGCGTAAATCAATAGCTGTTTGTAGGGCATAGATTTAAACAAGGCTATATGGAATTATATATAAAGGTTGGAGGGAGGTTGAAGGGAGGAAGTTACAGACTGATATATATGCCACCCCTGCCGCCTCCTGATTTACAAAAACTACAACAATTACTTCACAAACACACACACACAATTCAATTGTGAAATCCAATTGCTTCGAATGCAACAATACAATCAACAAAAGGAAACCATAAATATTGACCACAATCGACAATATTGAAGTATTGTGGTCGGAATACAAACCCATAAAATTGTAACAGTTTTCAATTAAAACCAAATGAAAATCGCAATAAGACACAGGCTCTTTAGTGGGTGGAAAAAAATTGTTTTTAATTTTTGGGTAATTTTCAAAATGGTTCCGAATCTCCCTGAAAACTGCATCTTAGAAAGATGGTCTCAAGGGAAAAAATATGCGCCAGCAAATTTCACTATGGGTCTCTGAACAATCGAAATCTGAAAATAAAACATTTATCGATATATATCGATAAATAAAATTGATGCTGTTTTTTGGGCAAATAAAAGCTTTTGGGTATTTTGTGATTTCGGTCGATAATTCTATGAAGATGCCGTTTTAAAGCAATGATCCCAATGGAAAAAATATTCTACATCAAATTTCATTATGGGTCTCTGAACACAATAAACGTGTATATATACTATGTATAGGCTAAATAGGCCTATGAATATTAATATATAAAGAAAATCATATCATATGGATTTTTTGGGTATTTTTGTTTTAATTGGTCGAAAATTCTATGAAACCATCACTTTAGAGGGATGAACTCAATGAGAAAAATACTCTATAAATTTCAGATCTAATTTGGTTATATTCAAAACTACATGTAAATTTTTTATTTGGGATTTTTAGGCATTTTTAAAAATGGTCGAAAATTGTACCAAAACATTGTTTTATAGCGTTGATCCTAATGGAAAAAATAATCCTTGTCAAATTCCACTAAAAGTTCCCAAACACAAGAAATCGTAATATATAGTATATTCTAATTAAATATCGGTTTCAATTTGGTTATATACAAAATAAGTTGTAAATTTTTTATTTGAAAATTTTGGACATTTTTAATGTGGTCGGATATTGTATCAGAGCATACTTTTAGAGGATTAGTCCTAATGGAAAAAATATTCCTTATCAAATTCCATTATGTGTCTCCGAACACAAGAAATTGGAATATGTAACGCATTCCAATTAAATATCGGGTTAAATTTGGTTAAATACATAATTATTTGTAATTTTTTCCTTACAACTTTTGGGCATTTTTTTCAATGGTCGAAAATTGTACCAAAACATTATTTTAGAGCGTTGGTCCTAATTAAAATTATATTCCTTATCAAATTTTAGTATGAGTCTCCGAACACAAGAAATTGGAATATATAACGCATTCCAATTAAATATCGGGTTAGATTTGGTTAAATACAAAATTATTTGTAGTTTTTTTGCTTGCAACTTTTGAGCACTTTTTTCAATGGTCGAAAATTGTATCAAAACATTATTTTAGAGCATTGGTCCTAATGGAAAAAATAATCCTTTTCAAATTCCATTCAGAGTCCCCAAACACAAGAAATCGTAATATATAGTATATTCTAATTAAATATCGGTTTCAATTTAAGTATATACAAAATAACTTGTAAATTTTTTATTTGAAAATTTTGGACATTTTTTAATGTGGTCGGATATTGTATCAGAGCATAACTTTAGAGGATTGGTCCTAATGGAAAAAATATTCCTTATCAAATTCCATTATGAGTCTTCGAACACAAAAAAGTGGAATATATAACGCATTCTAATTAAATATCGGGTTAAATTTGGTTAAATACAAAATTATTTGTAATTTTTTTCCTTGCAACTTTTGGGCATTTTTTTCAATGGTCGGAAATTGTACCAAAACATTATTTTAGAGCGTTGGTTCTAATGAAAATTATATTCCTTATTCGATTTCATTATGAGTCTCCGAACATAAGAAATCGGAATATGTAGAATATTCCGATCAAATTTCGGACCTAATTTGCCTATATTCAAAACTACTTATAATTTTTTGTGTGAAACTTTTGGACATTTTTTTTTCAATGGCCAGATATCGTATCAAAACATTATTTTAGAGCATTGATCTTAATGGAAAAAATATTCCTTATCAAATTCCATTATGAGTCTTCGAACACAAAAAATCGTTATATATAATAAGTGCGACTAAAAATCAAGGCCAATTTTGGATATATAAAAAAGACTTTTAAAATTTTTGTTTGCAAATTTTTATTAAATATTTACAAATCGTTTCTGTACTGCATGAAAACGTAACTTTAGAGATTTGGTCTTAGAGAGGAAAATATTCTTCAGAAAATTTCAAAAAGGGTCTCTTGACAACCAATCTCCATAACTCTATTAGATATCATGTAAAAATCGCAATATAAGTAGAACTTTTTTTCTCAAAATATCTTTGATTTTCTTATCTTTGCAGTCCATTCGCTGCCGCATTTGACAGTTTTAAGCTTATCCGGTTGTAGTAAATTGACCGACGATGGTGTGGAGCTGATTGCCGAAAATCTACAAAAATTACGAGCATTGGATTTGTCATGGTGTCCACGTATAACGGATGCCTCGCTGGAGTATATTGCCTGTGATCTAAATCAATTGGAAGAATTAACGTTGGATAGGTAAACATTCCTGAACCCCTATCAACCCCTAGAAGACTTTATAACATTTTTTTCTCATTTTCAGATGTGTCCACATAACCGACATTGGTGTTGGCTACATCTCCACCATGCTCTCGCTAACCGCTTTATTCTTACGCTGGTGCTCACAAGTTCGTGACTTTGGCCTACAACATTTGTGCTCAATGCGTAACCTGCAGGTCCTCTCGCTGGCCGGCTGTCCATTGCTTACCTCATCGGGTCTGTCCAGTCTCATACAGTTGAGGCATTTGCAAGAATTGGAGCTGACCAATTGTCCGGGTGCATCCCAGGAACTCTTTGAATATCTCAAAGATCACATGCCTCGTTGTTTGATAATTGAATAATTGTCGAAAGGAAACACCCAAAGAAATAATTTTTTTTGTAACTTATTTTCGGTGTAGTCTTATTATATATATATATATAAAACAATTTTTTTTTCTAATTTATATAACTTTATTGTATTACTAATTTTTATATAATGCAAAAAAAACTAAAACCCAAAAAAAAAATATTTAGTTCCTGAAAGACAGAAAAAACAAGTAAAAAAGCAGTAAGTTCGGCCGGGCCGAACTTTGAATACCCTCCACCATTTGGAACGAATTAGAAAATTTTCAAAAAAATAAAATCCAATAAATTTTTTTAAAATATTTAATATAGGAAGGTACCGATATATGGGGGGATATACGATATTGTGGACCTATAAAGACAAATATATGTCTGCGTGTAAAGTACTCACAAGGAACTCCGTGTGTAGATTTTCAGACAATACGATGTGAAAATGTGGCTAAAATCATCAAAATACCGAATATCGCGGGGTACCGTTATATGGGAGCTATACGTTATCGTTAACCTATATAGAGAATTCTCTGTCGGTGGGTAAAGTGCTCACAAAGAACCCCTTGTGTACAAAGAACCCCTTGTGACCATTCCGTTGAAAAATATGGCTAAAAACATCAAAATACCGAATATCGGGGGTACCGTTATATGGGGGCTATACGATATTTTGGACCTATATAGATAATTCTCTGCCGAGGTATAAAGTACCCACAAGGAACTCCTTGTGTGGATTTTCAGACAATTCCGTTCAAAAATGTGGGTAAAAGCATCAAAATACCGAATATCGTGGGGTACCGTTACATGGGGGCTATACGATATCGTGGACCTATATAGATAATTCTCTGCCGAGGTATAAAGTACCCACAAGGAACTCCTTGTGTGGATTTTCAGACAATTCCGTTCAAAAATGTGGGTAAAATCATCAAAATACCGAATATCGGGGGGTACCGTTATATGGGGCTATACGATATTTTGGACCTATATAGATAATTCTCTGCCGAGGTATAAAGTACCCACAAGGAACTCCTTGTTTGGATTTTCAGACAATTCCGTTCAAAAATGTGGGTAAAAGCATCAAAATACCGAATATCGTGGGGTACCGTTACATGGGGGCTATACGATATCGTGGACCTATATAGATAATTCTCTGCCGAGGTATAAAGTACCCACAAGGAACTCCTTGTGTGGATTTTCAGACAATTCCGTTCAAAAATGTGGGTATAATCATCAAAATACCGAATATCGGGGGTACCGTTACATGGGGGCTATACGATATCATGGACCTATATGGACAATTCTCTGCCGAGGTATAAGGTACCCACATGGAACTCCTTGTGTGGATTTTCAGACAATTCCGTTCAAAAATGTGGGTAAAAGCATCAAAATACCGAATATCGTGGGGTACCGTTACATGGGGGCTATACGATATCGTGGACCTATATAGATAATTCTCTGCCGAGGTATAAAGTACCCACAAGGAACTCCTTGTGTGGGATTTCAGACAATTCAGATGAAAAATGTGGGTAAAATCTTCAAAATACCGAATATCGGGGGGTACCGTTATATGGGGGCTATACGATATTGTGGACCTATATAGATAATTCTCTGCCGAGGTATAAAGTACCCACAAGGAACTCCTTGTGTGGATTTTCAGACAATTCCGTTGAAAAATGTGGGTAAAATCATCAAAATACCGAATATCGGGGGGTACCGTTACATGGGGGCTATACGATATCGTGGACCTATATGGACAATTCTCTGCCGAGGTAAAAAGTACCCACAAGGAACTCCTTGTGTGGATTTTCAGACAATTCCGTTGAAAAATGTGGGTAAAATCATCAAAATACCGAATATCGGGGGGTACCGTTATATGGGGGCTATACGATATCGTGGACCGATATAGCCCATCTTCGAACTTGACCTGCCTGCAGACAAAAGAGAGATCTGTGCAAAATTTTAGCTTCCTATCTTAATTCGTTTAGACTGTAGCGTGATTACAACAGACGGACAGACGGACAGACGGACAGACGGACAGACGGACAGACGGACAGACGGACGGACAGGGCTAAATCGTCTTAGAATTTTACGCTGATCAAGAATATATATACTTTGTTGGGTCTAAAATGATTATTTCGATGAGTTACAAACGGAATGACAAAGTTAATATACCCTCCATACCTTTTTTGGTGGAGGGTATAAAAACAAGAGAATATTAATTTAGATCAGATCGAATTTTTTTCTTGATGTTATATAGTTTATTTTTGTATTCTAATTCAAGTAATTCTACTTCTACGTAATATATGTGTATATGTTTCTTTCTGTGATTTTAGATTTTAAGTTTATTTGGTTTCAAAAAACAAAAACTTAATAATTATAATAATTTATTATTTATTTTATTAAGCTGTAAAATGGGAACACAAAGTTTTGGAAAATATTTTCATTTAAATTCAATTTGAAATTTAAAAATTTTTTTGTTGCAGAAAACCGAATAACCGGTTCAAAAAATTGAGTAACCGGTTCAAAAAACCGAAAAACCGCTTCAAAATTTTGTGTTAATCTCGTTGTTAGCAGTTGGAGTCTTCTAAGCTTTATGAATTTCGATTTTTTAAACAAATATTGATTCATCGAATTGAGTAACCGGTTCAAATAATCGAGTAACCGGTTCAAAAAAACCAAAAAAACCGCTTCAAAATTTTGTGTAAATCTCGTTGTTGGCAATTGGAGTCTTCTAAGTTCCATTACTTGCATTTTTTCAAACAAATATTGATTCATCGAACCGAGTAACCGTTACCAAAATCCCAAATCGGCATTTCAAAAACATCAAATTAAACACAATAACATGTAGCAAAATTAATGCAGAATTGGGTGTTACCGGTTCAAAGTACCCGGGTAACCGGTTCCAGAAAACCGAGTAACCGGTTCAATAACCCAAATAAACGCTTCAATGCTTAGCTTAAATCTCATTATAAGCTGTTGGAGTTTTCTAAGCCCTTATAATTGTAATTTTACAAGCTAATATTAATTCACTGAACCGAGTAACCGTTACCCACATCTCAAAAACCATTATAATAACCATTATAATAGAAAATATCAAATTATACATAAAACTGTACAATAACAAGTAGCAAAATTAATGCAAAATTGCGTGTTAGCGGTTCCAAGTACCCGGGTAACCGATTCCAGAAAACCGAGTAACCAGCTCAAAACCTCAAAAAATCTCTTTAAAGCTCAACGTAAATTTCATTATAAGCTTTTGGAGTTTTCTTAACACTAATAACTGTAATTTTACAAGCAAATATTAATTGATTGAACCAAGTAACCGTATCCCAAATCCTAAATTACAAATAAAAAATATAAAAATACACATGACACTGTAATAATAACTGAAATGAATGCAAAATTGTGTGTTACCAGTTCAAAAGAACCCAAGTAACCGGTTCAGAAAAACGAGTAACCTGTTCAAAAAGCCGAATAACCACTTTAAAATTTCGCATAAATCTAATTATAAGCACTTAGACTTCTCCAAGCTTCAATAATTGTAATTTTACAAGCAAATATTGAATCATCAAACCGAGTAACCGTTTCATAGTACCAGGTAACCGGTCTGGAAAAGTCGAATTTTTACATTTGAAATTGATTGAAACTTTCTAGGCTGTAGGAATACTAAAACTACTGGTTATGGAAGATCTTATGGACCGAAAAAAATGATTTGGTACCGAGTAACCGGTACCGAGTAAACTTGGAGTAACCGTTTCCGAAAAATAAAAATAATTGCAGAAGATCTTTTTAAAGAATTCTTGAAAGTTTTCGTGCGAAAACAAGAAGGTTTCGTTACCCACAAGCCCAATAATCGTTGTAGGAAACCGTGTAACCGGTTTCATAAAATATTGAATTTCAATAAAATGTTTTTAATTCTTTGTCTTCTTTTTAATAAAGCCATAAGATCCCTATTATCGCCATCAATAGTCTAAAAACCGCCTAAGTAACCGGTTCCAAAACTTGGAATAACCGTTTCCGAAAAATAAAAATAAATGCAGAATATTTTTTTAAAGAATTCTTGAAAGATTTCGTGCGAAAACAACGGGTAATCGTTACCTAAAAACCCAAGAACTGTTCGTAAGGAACCGAGGAACCTGTTTGCTAAAATATTTAATTTCAATGACATTTTGTTATATTGTGTATCCCTCTTATAATGAAGGCATAAGAAGCCTTTTATCGCCATCGGTAGTATAAAACCCGCTGATTAACCGGTTCCAAAACTAGGAGTAACCGTTTTCCAAAAATATTAATAATTACAGAAAACTTTTTTTTAGAATTTTTGAAACTTTTCATAGGAAAATCACGAGTAATCGTTACCTAAAAATCCAAAAACCAAATTTACCTGAGTAATCGGTTCTATAAATTCGAGTAACCGTTTTCCAAAAAAAATGTATAATAGCAGAGAGTTTTTATTGAATTTTTGAAACTTTTTATACGAAAGCAACGAGTAATCGTTACCCAATAACTAAATAAACGGTTATATGAAACCGAGTAACCGGTTTCCTAAGGTATTGAATTTCAATAAAATGTTGTTATTTACTTATCTTCTCTTTAATAAAGATATAAAAAGCTTGTTTTCGCCAACAATAGCCTAAAAGTCACCTAAGTAACCGGTTCCAAAACTTCAAGTAACCGTTTTCAAAAAATAAAAATAATTTCAAAAAAACTTGTTATAGAATTCTTGAAACTTTTTATGCGAAAACAAAGAGTAATTGTTACCCAAAATCTCAATAACCGTTCGTAAGAAACCGAGTAACCGGTTTCCTAGGATATTGAATTTCAATAAAATGTTGTTATTTACTTATCTTCTTTTTAATAAAGATATAAAAAGCCTGTTTTCGCCAACAATAGCCTAAAAGTCACCTAAGTAACCGGTTCCAAAACTTTGAGTAATCGGTTTCCAAACAAATTTATAATAACAGACTTTTTTTATGAATTTTTGTAACTTTTCATAGGAAAACCACGAGTAATCGTTACCTAAAAATCCAATAACCGTTCGTAAGAAACCGAGTAACCGGTTTCCTAAAATATTGAATTTCAATAAACTGTTGTTATTTCTTTGTTT